TATCCTTTATAATGTTATTTGCATCCAGGTAATCTACCATTTTCACTTGAATTATAGCTTCCATTATTTTTCCAGTAATGCTAGTTAAACTGATTGGCCTATAGTTTGCTGTGTTACTTCTATCCCCTTTTTTGAATATGGGTGTTATATTAGCATGCTTCCATTTTCCAGCTTGGTACCAAGTCCAAATTGCTTCAGACCTAAAGGTTCTTAATTTCAAGCAGAACAACTGGGAATTGTGCAGTCAGACTAAACTGAATAACTAAAGTCATAATCAATAGCTTTGAACTGATGGTCTTGTTGGAGGTTTAAATCCTAATCCACTTCCTGGAAGTCTTTCCAGGGCCCTGTATCTTGATGCTGGATTTTTTGCTAAGCAAGAAATCCTGCTTTGATGCAGGCTGCAGCAACCTATATCTGTAAATTGGTTTAACGAACTTGGAACTAAGGTTTAACATAAAACCAAATGCAATTTAAGTGATGCTGAATATGCTGAGCTAGATAATTTTGAGATGGAATTGAACAAAATGATGGTATTCCCTGATTTAAATGCTCATTTTTACTGTTCATTTTATTTTGCAGTCACTAGAATAGATTTACATGCATTAATGTTCCAAGCACTCCATCTCTATCAACACTATTCATAACTGAAATGCTTTGAACTGTTTAACACTAAAGGAAAGGGGAAGAACTGGAACAGCATAATAGGGCACTTTTATGTCCAAGATGAGCGAACAAGAAATACTAGTCACAATAAGGTGCAATCAACATATTAACCTTTAGAGCCTGACAAACGCACAACACATAGATTTTTGCACCCCTTGTCAGGCTTATAACTTTGGAGAGAGATAACTCACGTCCAGTGAGATTAATCACATATCTTTGGATTCGAGAGAACTTATTCGATCTGGTCGTCCAGGTTGTGATGTTGAGGTTTTTCTTTCATACTAGAGGCAGTACAATGTTCCATAATTGCCATTTCTGCTGCTATTTATTTTAAATTATGAAGGTTTCATTTGTACATAAATGAGTCCAGTTGGAGTCTTTCATACAGTTCCAGATATATACTGTTTAGGGACAGGCACAATTGTAGCTATTTAGAGGCATGCTGGGACCACAGCAGTAGTCAAAGAGGAGTTAAAGTTTAGTGGACACCGCTGCCAGCTGATCAGCACACGCTGACACTATCAGGCCCATATGCACCAAAGCCGACGTCAACCTAGGGCGCTTTTCCACCGCACAAAGTACAGTACTTTCGGTATGGTACTTTCGCTTTTCCATTGACTTCTGGTCGAGTACCAGTACCGAAAGTTCCAGTACCAAAAGTGCCAAACCAGCTGGGGTACTACTTTGGTACTTCAGTACTTTGGGGTGGGACTTGCAAAAGTACAGTATTTGCTGTCGATTGGTTATGCAAATAGCCTGCCGCTGAACCACAAAATACAACCGGCATCTTTTGAAACACACAGTAAACAGCGAGAAACAAAATAAAAAGCAGTAGAAACAAAAATATAAAAAAGTAAAATGGAAGGATGGAAAAACAAGGAAAAACAGGCTTTAATCGCCATATGGTCGGATGAACAGATCCAGCGGGATTCATCAGAAAAACATACCAATCAGACATACCAATCAGAAAAACATACCTATCAGAAAGACATACCCATCAGACATACCGATCAGAAAGACATACCCATCAGATATACCGATCAGAAAGACATACCCATC